CCGCCGGCACACAGCAGCAGCAGCACCTCAACGCGCTCGCCCGCATCGTCGTCCGGAACCACCTGCGGGGCAAGCACGCGCGGCGGGCGCCCCGCAACGCCAAGACCGGCAGGGGCGCGGCGTTCTCTGTCGAAATCGGCCTCGCGCGCAGGCAGCTCGCGGCGTGGTGGGCCAGTGGGCCTGGGGCGGCGGGCACGGGTGCGGGCCCGGGCGTGGGCGCAGACGCAAGGGACCCGCCGAAGATCAAGAGGGTGCTGCAGTACCCAGAAGCTGCTGGCTTCTTCCACAGCAGCTGCAGCCGGCTGGCTAAGAACGTAGGCCTGCTGCACCTCAACGCCGCCGCGCTGCTGGCGGGTGGGCCCATGGCCGGCGCCCGCAAGCCGGGAGCTGCCGGCCCCCACGCCGTGGCGGCGCCGAGCCCACGACCCTGCCTGGCCGCAGCTGCCCCCGCCCCCGCCGCATTAGGCGCCGCGATGCGCGCGGCAGGGGAAGGCGACGCCGCTTCATCCTTCCAGCTCGTCGCGGCCGTCGGCAACCAGGCCCCGCCGGCGCCTCCAGGCGCCGCCGACGTGGCGCTGTGGCGCGCCGCCCCCGTCGCTTTCGTGTCTGACTCCGGCGGCTGCGAGGCGATGCTGCGGCGCCTGCGCGGCTGCCCGCTCCTCGGTTTTGCCATGCAACTGCAATACACAGCGGCCGACTCCGGGGAGCTGCGGCCGGCGCTGTTGCAGATCGCGGCGCCTCCGCGGCCACGCGCGGCCGGGGCCGGCGGCGGGGGCGCGCAGGCGGTGGTGTACGTCATCGATGCGCTGCAGGCGGCGGCGGCGGCGGCGCTGGCGCCCGGCGGTGGGCTAAAGGCTTTGCTGGAGGACAACCGAGTGATCAAGGCCATGCGTGGCTCCATCCAGGTGGGCGGGCCGGCGCCGGCTTGGTTTGTGGGGCACATAGGCCGCTCTTGACTAGCGTATCAGCAAAAGGCAGACGCCTGGGAGAGCGGCGTTGTAACGCTGGTGCGGCTCTGCAAAGGCGGCTGTCTGTCCGGCACCGTCTTGATTGCTAAATGGGCATCCTGTTGTGTGGTGCGGCCTCCTCTCCTCGCGCTGAGCGTCAGATCTTGATTGCGCAGTGATCAAGCCTATTTACATGTGCATGCATATGCCTTCATCACATGACCCGCATGCACGCATCACATGACCCGCACGTATGCGTAACACGACCCGCACGCATGCGTCACGTGGCCCGCATGCATGTGCCTCATGATCCGCAGGTGGACGCCGTGCTGCAGCTTGGAGTCGGTATTCGCCTGGCCGGAGCCTTTGACGTTCAGTGGGCTGCCATGACCCTCCGCAGCCACACTGCCAACTCCGCCGCGGCCGCGGACAGCGGCGCGGCCGCGCTGGGGGCGCTGTGCGCGGAGTGGGGCTTGCCGCACCCCTGGGATGGCGAGGCCGCGCCTGTGCTCGATGGTGACGACGAAAGGTGCGGCTGTATGTGATGTATGGCCGCAAACATTGCATACATGAGGGCCAACCCCACAGGCCATGCAGGGCCACGCTAACATCTGCAGGCCCTGCTGGGGCCGGCGCTCAGGCACCTGCGCGCGGGCCTATCCGTGTGGGCCGGGCGTCCCCCAAAGACTTTGAGCTTGACCGACTGAGAGGGCTGCGAATTCTTTGAGGGCCAGGTCTAACAACAGCACCAGAAAGTTGACCGCGATCTGAGTGCCTGTTTGTGAAACATAACACCACCATCTCGTGCAGGCCATGGCTGCGCCGCCCGCCATCACGCACTCTAATTGACGCCGCCGCCGAGCACGTGCGCTACCTGGTGCCGCTCGCCACCCGCCTGCGCGAGCGCTGCGTTGCGGCGGCGAACCCCCTCCTGAACGCCGCGCACGCGCGCGCCGCGGGCGGGGCCCCGCCGCCCGCGCCCGCGGCGGCGGGGGGCCTCGCCGCGGCGCTCGGCGGGGGCGGCAGGGCGGCTAAGTAAAAAATGTCGGTGGACAAGGAAGGCGTGCCGTCTTATACCCTGGTGGGCGGCGGCGGCAACGGCGGGCAAGGCGCCGGTGGCAGCGGCAGCGACGGCGGGCGAGGCGGCGGCGACCAGGGCCCTGGCGACGAAGCCATGGCGGTCGACAGCGCGCCGCAGGCGCTGGCAGATGGGGAGGCGGAGCCGCCGATCGACGAGGGCGCGGCGTCCCTGCTCAAGCTGCTGCCCAAAAGGTGGGACAACGGAGGGCAGGGTGGCCCATGGGCGCGTGGCCGTCCCAGCACCCGCAACCGTGACTGGATTATTACGCTGCGCCTGGACTGCCTCATCTTCCATGAGAACATCAATTCATGCGGCCGGCCGTCTGCTATGTATGGCGGCCCCTCTCACTTCGGATCTGGCCGCCTCTCCACCGACCTTCTGATCCCAAAGGCTCCGCCGGCAGCTGAAGCAGCATGCGCGGCCGGCCCCTGGCGCGCCGCGCCTGAAAGAAGTGCTGCTGCACGGCCACCGCCGCCCCGCGCTGGCGCGCCTGAGCGACGGCGCAACAACAGAGCTGCGGGAGCGGGTGCCTCTGTCAGAGGCGCTGGAAGCGCTGTCAGGCGCCAGGCGGCGCTGCATGGATGGGGACGATGATGCGGGCCAGCGCGGCGGCGGCGGGGCGCAGAGGGACCAGGCGCGGCCGCGCTCGGCGGCGGGCGGAAAAGGCGGTAGCAGCGGCGGCGGCGTTGGCGGCGGCGGGCCCTTGTTTGATTCTGACAACCGGATGGCCCTGCCAGGCTGCCTGCACCGCATCAGCGCCGCCGCCGGCCGCGACAGGGCCGTGTGCGGCCTGACCTACCGCGTCGGGCGCCACGTGCCCGGCGCCGCCGCGCCGCTGCTCGACATCCTGACTCAAATCAAGCGTGCGCAGCGCGGCGGCGGCGGCGGCGGCGGCGGCGGCGGCGCCGGCGGCAGCGCATCCCTGGGCGGCGGCGGCGGCGGTGCCCCGTCGCTGCTGCTGCTGGGGCGGCCGGGGGCCGGGAAGACGACGCTGCTGCGGGATGTGGCGCGGGTGTGCGCCGACGAGCTAGGCCTGTCCGTGGTGGTGGTGGACACGAGCAACGAAATCGCCGGCGATGGCGCAGAACCCCACCCCTGCATCGGGCGCGCGCTGCGGCTCCAGGTGCGTGTCAGGAAAGGAGCGGGGGGGCTTGGTGATTTCGGTGACTGCCGCAGTCCGCTGATGCCAGCCATTACAACGTCAATCAACAGTGGCCCATGGGGACAGCCCCAGCTCGCTGGTGCAGCACCGCGCGCCTCCTGCTTGCCGAAGCGCGTGGCCGCTCTCGCGCTGCACTCATCCTCAACGCTAATTTTGGTCAACTGGCGGCCGCCGCAGGTGCCGCACAACAGGAGCCAGGCTGAGGTCATGTTGGAGGCGGTGCAGAATCACGGCCCCGAGGTTATCATCGTGGATGAGATCGGGTCAAAAGAGGTGCGCCGCGCCGGCACCGCCGGGCCGGGGGCGAGGGAGGGAGGCGATGGCTGCGTGTCAAGCTGACGGGTGCTGGGTGCCAGTGGGGGGCGGGGTAGGGGAGGCGAGCGGCGAGTGCGGCGAATGATGTGTGCAGTCGCATGCACGCGGGTTGGCAACCGTGCTGCAAGGCTCGATGGTGTGATGGCGTTGCAGGATTCGCCAGGGGGGGGACCGCGCCAAAGCCGCAAAACGCAACAGCTGCAAATCGTGGTCGTAAAGCAGGCGGCTGGGCTGCCGCTCAGCACCCAGCCTGGGCACGCGCAGACCCCTGCCCCAGCGTGGCACGCTTCCTCTAGTGTCTCGCAAACGGCTGCGGCCCTACCGACGGCAGCCAGACGCTTCATGTTTTGCCGGGCGCCATCCATGACCTAAATACTTGCCCTGACATCGCCTTGCCGCACCCACCCCTGCGGCGCCCGCCCCCAACCCACACCCCCAGGAGGCCCTCGCGGCCGCCACCATCGCCCGCCGCGGCGTTGCCCTTGTCGCCACCGCCCACGGCACCACGCTTTCGGACGTCCTATCCAACCCCGATCTCTCACGCCTCGCCGGCGGCGCACGCCCCGTCACGCTCGGCGATGCGGCGGCCGCGGCCGCGGCAAGGGGTGTCAAGACGCGGCTCGAGAGGGCGGGGCCGGCGGTGTTTCACGTGCTCATCGAATTGCACGCGCCGGGCAGGTGGAGGGTGCACCTTTCGGTGGAGGGCAGCGTGGATCGCCTGCTGCAGGGGCGCCCTGCAGACGCGCACTCGAGGACGTGGCGGCACGACGGCGCCGGCGGCGGGGAGGAGGGCCGGCGACCGCGGGTGCTGGTTGAATTCGAGACGCCCGGTGCGGCGCGGGCGGCGGAGGCGGCGGCGGCGGCGGCGCGGGCGGCGGCGGGGCGCGGCAGCTGTCACGGCGGTGGCGGCGGCGGCGGGCATATGCTAAGG